ATGAGCTTTATATGTGTGCATCTATGTGTTAGTAAAAAGCAAACTGTGCGCTAAATTGCACACTTTTTGAAACGAACTCCCCCAGAAAGAGAAAGACAAAATAGATGGATCTACTCTCCGGGACGTGCGCCGCGATGGTGTAAAATCAGTGTTGTATTTGAGTCCATGCATCACAAGTCCTTTCACAAGCCCCTGTACAAGACCACTCATAAGTCACAATAACTTTTTTGTCACAGCTCATTTGAATAGCTTTTAAACTGGCTTAAGACTGTGCGACTTGTGAAGGACTTAAGGAGGCTTGCAGGGACTTGTGATGATAGGCTCTAACACAACAATATTTATTGCTTAAGTTGAACCTTTCAAATCTTGTTTAAATTTCGCTTTGTGTTTGGTTGTACACAACCTTTTCTTTTTATCCAACTCCTCTTCATAAATTGGATTTGTATTCATTAATATTATAATGTATCCTACCACAGAGAGAACATGGATGATACTTTACCTAATGAGAAACATCCCGTTGAGATTACACCGTCTATTCGGGCTAACCGACTAGGCGTCTGGCTGTATGCTGTGGAACGTAGGTTATGTAGAATTTTCTTTTCGCATCACCAGATTGCAGAGGACAGAAGTTTTTAATATTGCTTGCTAGGTTGGTATACAGCAGACTACGTCCCCTTTGTGCCAAAGCCTGCATTTAATAGCCAGTAAATTCGGGGACAGACGGCAGACTCCGTACCATCAAGCTTATGGCAGGTATGAGGGGGGAATCAACAGGTAGCAATGCAATTCCACCGGAGCGTATCTTCACACTGAATGGGCAAAATATAATTGTTGTCCATCCTTGAAGCCGTTACAATTGTTGGTTTGGGGCCTATTTTAAAAGTATCCGGTACGAAGACGTGTTCACAGGATTACTATCTCCAAAAAGCTAGGTCTCAAATTCTACGTGCATTATCCTTGAGATGACAATTTTAGATTATGCTCCTCAATCCTTTTTGATTATTCTTAAATGGGAAGGAACCCAACAATTTCAACAAATTTACAAGGATCAAAGATTTTTTTCCTTTTTGACAAAAGTTGACATGACTTTCTCTCCATAGTTTTGAACTATATTCGTTCGGAGCACAAGATCTGCAGTTACTCAGTATGTATACTGCGCTACAGTAGACCCTTTTTGTTCCTGTGCAAGTTGTGAGAAAGGTTTTACTTAAATTTCGCGTTGGTACGGTGGACTTGCAGTGTAAAAGTGGTTTATTTAGCAGTGACTGCGGGTGTTTAAGTACACGTGTGCTTGGATGGGCCTTCGTCATCTGTGCTGCACACAGTTTGGAGACAAGTTTGAAACAGCCATAATTTGGTTGTCGCAGTGGTTGAGTTCTGTTCACAATTCACGATAGTCTCCAACTTTTTAGTCAAACCTCTCTCGGTTCGGTGTGTTGAGGAATCCCTATTGTGTCTCAACGCACATCACGGCATCGTGCACGCAACGCACCCAAAACGTACATATCGATAGGTCATAGAGCTATAGAGTACCGAAGTGAAAAGTCACGCGCATAATTAGTGTGTAAAAGGCACTAGCGCGAGAACCAGCGCGTGAACCAACACCCGTTTGCACTGCACTTTCTAGTTCACAGTGACGTCACACTTCGGTACTCAATAGAAACTCAATGGGAAAGGCGCTTTTACTCAGATGTGCGCGAAAATGCGCGGGCCTTCAAAGCCTCTCAAAATTCTGGAATACATGAAATTGCCAAGATACGTAAATAACGTAAGCGCTTCCACGGACATGGTACGCTTCATGAAATGCCTTTACCCGTCATATTACGTCACACGTGAAACCCTCTATAGTCTGCCTATTGCGTCTACTCGGGCACAATTGCTGCAGTTTGTTGGTTGTAAGCTTGTTTTTGTATCTTTTCATTATAAGGAAACCCTAAAAGAACCACCAAAATCAGCAGAAAAAGCGCACAAGGCGAAACAAATCAGGACACCGAGCTGAGGTGCAACCTGTTTTCCTCTTTGGGAGAACTTCTGTTTGAAGGAGTTTCTTCTAAGTAAAGACTTGCTTGTTTCAATATAATGAGACTAAACGACTGCAGTTTGCATTAAAATTGCTGAAATACACATTCAGCCATAATTTCACAACACGCGTAACTTGTGACAGAAAATAAATTAACCCATACAAAACCACGTTGCTCGTAAACCCATCAATGACGAGCCCGCTTCGGTGATTCGGAATGTTTTATTTGCTCCCTTTCATCTCACCACCTTCCAGTTTAATAACACAAAATTCAGGTAAAATGTGTTTTCAAGATGCCTTATGTTTGAATGCAGTGCTTACGTGTACATTCTGGCAAAAACTACCTCTTTGATGTGTTAATACAATTTTAAACTATATGCACGTACATAGTCATCGTAGTAGTTTATTATTCAGGGCTAGAGGAGGCTACTCCAGTGGTTAAAACACTAAATCTATATAAGTGTGATTCTTTCGCCATTGACCATATTTTTCAGATCGGTACACCTGTTCAGATGAATATGTACTTTTTAATCTTAAACACACTCCTGATGTTGGTTTTCCTCGAGTGTTGACAGCAGGGTTTGTCAGAGCTGGGGGGGGGTTCCCACATTCTTTTGTCAACATTAATTCTATTTGGTTTATAATTATATGGTCCTGTATTACATTGTGGTACATATTATGATGTTTTTAATAATCCACGTGTGTATTTTTTATATTGAATTCCGACCCATAGTGTATTTTATGAAGGGTGCATTAGCGCACAAGACCATCCCAAGGCCAGGGTAAGACCGTGGCCGTGGAATCTAGTCAAATCGTGGAGGAAGGAATAAAAAAAACCAAAGTAGTCAGTTGCGTGAGGGGGAGGCATGGGGCACCCCCTGTCCAAAGGCTGTGCCCCAATTTCTGACACTGTGTAGACAAATGCAGCGAATAACTTTCCACAAGGCATTCCATTATTGCCATCTTGCTAGTGGCAGAAAGCAGTGCGTGGAGGGGTTTATATTAATTAAGCAAATGTCGCACCTAACAGTGGTTCCGCATCACATGCACAAAGTAGGAGGAGCGGCGCCCAACGACTAAGCGGAGGGTAAACTGAGCTTTGAGGCTTTCTGCTGAAACTAATCAACAGTATAAATGCCGAATAAATAGCAACACAATCCGAAAGGGGTCATGATTTCAACGATAAAAGACACACACCAGGCCTTCTGTTCTTCTTGTTCAAAAGGACTTTATTTTGATAGATTTATTTTAACATGACGCTTCGTTAGCAAGCAGCACAACGTTCTGGACAGAATAATGGCTCTGCACGTTTCCTGCAAGAAATGGAATTTCCTCATGGGAGGACTACAAACAAACCATCCATTTCAAGCGTTTCAACTATTGTCGTCTTTTAGTCCTCTTTTAGGAAACACGTATATGGCGGCACAAAACCCTTGACTCTACATATATTTTATTTATACAAATTTCACAGCTTGTAATTCAGGCTAAGATTGCGGTTTATTGATAGGGATACTTGAACCGACTCTTAAATAATTCAAATGAGTTGCAAGATGTTTAAAAACGACAGTCAATGACAGACGATGTACCATTCCGCCAGGACTAGGTCAACGGTGTAAGGCACGCAAAGATCATATGCGGTGTCTGACGACTTCAGACAGACAGTCAACAAGAGAACAGGTTGGCTGTACAGCACTAAGATTGGTTATGCCTGCAGTACAGAAGCGAGCAATGTTCACAAGCAAATTATGTTGATAGTTCGCTCATGGAGGATCAGGGGCAGAGTGATTCATTTCCTGAACCGCTCAAGCAACCAACCCGCACCGACAAAGGAGGGTGGTGCAAAACTAAAGCTTTGGAACGAAGTATCGAAGAATGCAGGGCAGCAACAAAGTCTATGAAGCACACTGCACGGCCAGCACGGCTGCGATTTAATACATGTACATGTCTTTGTAAGAGTGCAATGCCGAGTGAATGCTTGAATAAGCGCAATGGCAGAGAACGGTCTACACGGCATTCCCGCTCTGGTTTAATGCTATACTATGCTTGACTATGAGAGTGTAGGGTGAAGAAAAGGAATGTAAAAAAAAAAAAGACAGTCGGGAGACCAGGTGACTCAGGTATGTCGACCGATCACACTCAACACTAGACAGAAAAGATACGGTGAGAGCAGGAAAGGCACCAGGTGACCTAAACTGCTGGACTGGTCATACTTTACTAAGGTTTTCTGTAATTGTAATTACAGCTGGCTGTTTCTTGATGACTGGTGTGTTTCCGTAGAGCCAGGTTCTTTTGATGATGTTCCTTGCTGCCAGTCTCCTCCGTCTGTTGTCAGATGTCTACGCAGGAAGGAGAGAGTTTTGGCCCATGCATCCTGGCAGGCATGGGCGTGGAGCTTCATCTCCCCACCAAAGTCGACTATCACGCCTGTTTGAAAAAAAAAAAAACCGACGCACAGTCACAGGCTGGTGGCTTGTTACAACACAAAACATCCCAAATGCCCAAAAAGGATTTTCTATTGGTCTTGTCCGTCTTCCGTGCTTCAAACAACCCGCACAACTGTCCGTATAACACAATGAACAGGACTTTGACAAGACACAGGAGGTAATATGAATGAAAGCAAAGCCGACTCATATTGTTGGGAATCCATAGGCCTCATGAAGACCGTGGGGCACTCGCGTCTTATTAAATATCCCTCTTCTGAAAGCTTTCTTGTTTAATTTTTTCTGACCTAATTTCCCCATTTTCTTTTACAGTAGAGATAATCTATTCATTACCCAATGCAGCATTATACAGTCCCCTCCCTACAGGCTGGAAGGGAGGTTCTAGTAGATGCCCCGCCCCTGGATAGCTCAGCACTTCGTAATTCGTCTTGCCGTGAGACTGCAGCTTCTGGACAATCCGTCTGGCGCTCTCTACAGATGGGACATTCTGATCATCCTCACCAGTTATGAACAGAAAATTCGCCCTTGACTTTTCCACCTGATGGATAAACAGACGCAAGTTTAATGCCCACATAGTTTGATACACAAAGCTAGGAGTAAGGTTTTCATCTTAATTAGGCCACGTTATTTCAAAATTTGTGCATTAAGCGCCGTCCTGTGGCACAGAAGTTATAAGTACGAGCAATGGTATAGGCCTAACCATAAAGTAGACAGCCCACGTTCGCTTTTGTTTGGGGGGGGGGGTTAACGGTTATCGGCACAGATATGCGAATTTTATTCATTCTTGAATTCACAGAAGAGCAAGCTAATACGCGTTTTAAAAGTGAATTTGGAAACTGTCAATTTACTTCTGAAAATAGAACATTCATTTCGTCGGAATTCTTAAGGAACTTTTTCAACGTGACAGCATTCGATTTTGAAAAACAGGCGGCCACTACCGTAGCTTATGCATACAATGTTATACTTTCGAGTGGTGACAGCACTGAATGTCTGCATTATCTTGAATAGTAAGCTGAGTTTTTCTAACTAGACGAGAACATTAAGGCAAAAACTGCATGGAGAAAAGTATGTCTGTTCTGTTATTCGAGACTCCCTCCCTCCAGCAAATATGAGACCAGTAATCACTACTCCGCTAGATATCTTTACAGTGATAAATAAACACTGTATCCAACAGAGTAAACACATCATCAAATATATATCATGAATGACTATCAAAAACAGAATAATTTGTCCGGAAAATCTCAATGATGTACCACACAAGAATTTTCAAGAAGAACCCAACCCAGTCAAAAGCTTACACTGATCAGTTGTTCCTGTGGTAAGTCATTCACGTCTGCTAGAAAAATGTCTTTCATTACAAAGCCTTCCTCGGTAGTGTAGCCTTTGCGAATATCCTGAAACCGAAATAGAACAAGTTTGTGCCCAGTTTCAGCTACAAACAGTACGCTTTCACTTATACCAGGGACATATATTCTTCATGTGTTTTTCAATTATCTAGTTACATGTAGTCATGGGGATCAAATGTTAAGGTTCGCGATTTATCGGGAAGTTTGGACACCAAAATGAAAGGAAGATAAGTCGCTGAAAGTCATTCATGGAAATTAACATGCCGTGCATAGATTTACATAGTGAGATCAGCTTAACACTCCAGATTGGAAACTCTAAATGTACTATTTAAATGTTCGGTGTAAGAGTAAATAAAATGAAACGAAACAATAAAGTTTCAAAAATGTATATGTAATGAGGTCCACATACAGATACGAATATCTTGAACAATGCTTACGAGCACACAGTGATACATACCGGTTGATGTGCAGAGGGGACTTTCTTCCCTTGGTACGTCAGGTGTGTTATAATGATTGGAAGACTCGAAATAGCTACAACTGCTTTTATCTAGGATAAAATCCAATGGAAAAGAAAGAAACAACAAGATTATAGGCTTTTGTACTAAAGAATGAAATGATGTTTCGTTTGTTATCTGGTGTGAAGTTGTGTCTACAGGTGTGACCATGTCATTCAAAGTTGTATTCAAAATCATGGAATCGACTCAATTTACATTACATTACATTACATTACATAGTTTATTCGGCCCTCACATACAATAATATATATGGTGGAAATTACGTGGTCCTTGCTCTGCTAAAAAAATACAATATTAAAAATACATATATTTAACAAAACACATTAAACATTACAACACCACAATACATGTACATGTAACTAAAATGAGTTGTTTAGCTCATAACACCTGTTAATTAATCCAAACTCAATTCCAAAGTCAGGACCGCATTTCAAAGATCTGCTAAAAAAAACAATTGAGTACGAAGTGCATATTAATGTAGTATTTTGTTGGGTACCTGCCTCGGCTCAGGAAGTTATTTTCTAGGCTTCCTTAGGTTTATGCTGTTTCTATAGCAGCTCTGTCAAATAGGCCCCTTGCCAAGTATCTCAAGGGATAATCATGCAAATAAAAAGGAAAACCTAAAGGACAGTTAGAATAGACTGGATTATCCCAGGATAAACAATTAAGGCTTTTATAGCTAATTCCTAATACATATGCATTTATTGAAAATGAGGGCTGTGTAAAATGGGCACCCTGCTAAGATGTCGGACTCAAGTCGATAATGCATCAAAATTGCCGTTTTCCTTTTGCGTGTGAAAACCGAGTTCAAGGTTAGAAATTTGTGATCTTTCCCAACTGGAAAACAGAAAAAAAGAGTACAGTGTAAGATTCTTAACAGGGACACCCTCAAAATCTTTTCCCAACCCAATAGACAACGCTACACAGCTGGATCTTCTCTTTTGTGCTCCCTTCTTTCCGTGCTCTTCTATTTTGTAATTGCACAATCCGTCATGATGGCCTTAAAACTGTGAAGTCATCAGGTGTCTATTACTATTAATAGCACGCTTCACGTAGAAGCAGAACATGTACTTCGTACCGGTAAGTGGTTGGATCGAGTGCATGACTGATGATTGCTGAGACTGGTGGAGCTTAGATTACATAAACTGTGCATGAACGTAACCCAAAAAAGACCTATCCACACCTTACATTGGTTTATTTACAAACCTGCGGTAGTCGGGAAGCCATCTCCAGACCCAAGCTGCCGCCAAAAGACATGCCTAAAATGCCAATTCTGTCTGAAGGCACGAAGGGCTTAGACGATAGCCAGGCAGTTGCCTCCTGTATAAGACACGAGACATGGAGAGCTGAGTCAGCTGTCTTGCGACAGAGCTGAGAACGCACAGGCAAGGGCAGGGTTACAGCCCTGAATAAAATTATAAATTGGGTACTAAATGGGATGAAATAACCCCAACATTACTCTGTTTTACAATTACGCTGGGTACAAAATTAAACGAAAAGAAATTGAAAACAAAATGAAAGATGGAATATAAAGCTTTGAATTAATCTCGATGCACATTAGTGAGTCTCTTACAACATACTCGCTGGTTCACGAACAACTACGAAATGCACGGGTTATGGGAGCGTCGCTACCAGCCAAACCGACACTCCTGACCACCCTGGGTATGCCCAGCCGATGGGGGAAGCTTCTGCTTCGGGCGGATACATTGCTTTCTCATGGATTTCTACCAACCAATGTTATACACAGAGGACACATGCTCGGGAATTTCCCACTAAGGTGGAAGGGTTTGACTCATGTCTTGTCTGGCTGGTTACATAATCGACGTTTCAACTTTTGGGGTGGGGGTGGGGATGGATGGAAGTACAAGAGAAAACTCAAGAGAAGTCAAAGAATTAATGACATTGCATCAATACTCTGACATGTGTTTGACAAAATAAGAAGACTTGCTTTATCAAGCCGGCTGATTTTCTTTTCATGCATTTAAATGTAACATATTCAAAAATTACTAGTTAACTTTTTACAGGTAATACCTCAAAATATTCAAACTCAAGATATGTGTAAGACCGAGGGAGGTCCTCGTAACTGAAGAAGGGTAAAGCTAGGACAGCAAATCCTCGGGAAGCAAGTAAAGCTGCTCGGCACTCAGTGAAGACCCCTGCCAAGCCATAGATGTCAATCACTGCCGGAAAAGGACCCGGTCCTGAAAAAGAGAAAACAGGTTCCGAGAAAAATGAATCGTAACAAAAGATAATTCTGATGTATGGGGGAAGCTGGTCTCAACTTATCCAAAGGCGAAGGTCGCTATTTGAACAACCATTTTGTGGCCTAGAGTAATCTCTTTCCCAACCATTAGGCAGTCCACTTGGTAATGGTACCCCACTTTGGGAAAAAAATTACAGTGTATGGCACTGACTTGCCTTTAATTATATTAGAACATGTGTCCAAACACTACACCTGCTTCGCCACAGTACATAATAGTGTCAAGCAATCTGTGAAATCTTACCGCCAGGAATGCTGTCATCTCCGAGAAAAGCAAAGTTTTATATTTTTTCCAACGATTGTCCATCCTGACGATCTTTGAAAAATACAGTTCGTTCAAATACAGCCACCGTCCAGGGCTTCAACAAAAACGTATGTGACGCTTTGAGCTATTGGAAAAGTCTATATTAACGGGTAATATAGAAACTGCCAGCACACTTCGGTAAGCCTAAACTCATTATTAACTAACGAAATAGATGCCTTTTTGTAACTAACTGTCTAAACGAGAATTTGGACTGGTTAAAAATTCAAGTCTCTTCTGAAACTTTGGAAGTTTACCTCACGTGAATATATCATCTCGCCATCATACTTAAGAAAATGACATGGCTCAATGGCCATTCCTTCGGAGTTCCGAACAGAAGACTTGTTTTCTCGGAAAAATCCGTTTTCGGGACATCTAATGTAGCTTTCTGTTTTTCCACTGACATTAACTCTCAAGGATGGGTAGTAAAGTGGTTTTGTTGGGCATAACGATGTGTGGACGGTTTTTGACCGACGAACGTGCCTGTGGAGAGCAAACAATGACACGGTCGATCGTGCAAGCGTATGTACACACATGTACACGGTGCATGACATGTTTCGTACTTGAATGTGTGGTCACGCAGTGACTGTATGTGGTGACTGCCGTCACTTCACTACCCAATGAAACGTTGTTTATTAGACAAATTCTTAGCGTTGGATTGTTGAAGAGGAAACAAAAACTAGAAGTTAAATCTGCCAACCACAAGTACTACGCGAAGCCATGGAAAAATGCATTTTTGAGGGCCATAATCGGTCTGCACAGATCGATCTCACCCGTGCATTGTACAGGCACTAATCAGGAGCGTCATGTGGTCCACATGACGAGATTGCGTGGCGAGATTACACGAGCTGCACTTCGAGGGTTAAAAATGAACAGCGTTTTTTTTCGATTTTCTCAAAGTAGTGTTCTCAAAAAATAAAAAAAAGTTCGTGGAATGATACACAAAGTAAATCGAAACCCCCCAAATCGGCCACTTTTGACAAATTGCAGTACATGTACATGCAAATCCTATATACACTGCCTTTATGATCTTATTGGTTCGGCGCCGCTCTGGTGAGCCAGTTTGAACTGGGTGCGCACTGATGTGATGTAAGAAAAATGGAAACAAAGACTTACCTTTGGGTTTGAAGAGAATTCCCCGGATTCTCCCCGAGTTGACCTTGATTCTTTCAACCTCAGTATCCTTCATGAACCATCGACTTATTTTGGTCGTCGCCAGTGGCTGTGCCGAAAGGAGCGAGGGTAACTCCAAGTGATCACCGTAGACGGCGAACATGAGCTCGACAGGAGACCTCACGTCCTGCTTCACGAAGCCGATGCCCTTCTTTTGGTCTGGACCCGGGTGCAGACTCCAGACAAGTCCCATAGGTTCTATGCCTGAAGAAGTGCATGCACTTTCATTGTACAAATGCCATTTTCCCGCCAGTCAACGTTTGCCTTCTTGGAGTGAAAAATATGAGTGAGAATTCCCTCGCAAAAGAGGGATTTTAACGATTTAGAGTGAAATCTACCTACTCTTAAAGATCAAACTTCCTGGCTCAATCGAGTCTCGATCGGAAGTGATTCGTTTTCAAATAAAGTACCATCTAAATTCAGATCTATAAGTTTTCAATCTAAATCTAGTTCTAATGGTTTCACTCTTTGAAACAAGGCGACCATTTCCATGCCTCTCAAAGTGTGCTTTCCCATTTTTGTATTTCTTCTTTCATACAATTTTCTTATTCTTCACTGTTCTTGGAAACGTACAACCACTGGCATGATAGGCGTGGGAGAGGAAACCCAATACGCATAACAATGTCTCGTATTATCACGGGCATCAGACACAAGCAAAACCAAATATCAAAGTTCTCCATCAAATGGAGGTACCAGAAAACGTGGGTGTCAGCTAGAAGGCCAACGGTCTAATTCTGGCCGCCCGTTAGATTAACGACCTTGACAAGGCTCTCTGTCCACAGATTCCAATACCGTCGATCCAGATCTCAACTGGGCATCGTTTTTATCCAAGGATGTTTTGTTTATCTCCATGTTCGTATTCATCACAACATTTGCGGAACATCAATCAAAAACATCATCCAGGCAGGATGAACATCATCCAGGCGGGCAGGCACTGCCTCCATTCCACGAAAAATAAAATTCTGAAGGGTAAGGCTAAGATGTCTGGTCATGGTCATTCCTGGGATGCTATCCGGCGGGAAGGATCACACCGGTTTCCCTCGTGTACTGTGCGCAGTAGGCTTATTGAGTATCGATGGTATCGCTGGTTCACGTACAGGTACATATATGTTTCAGAGGGAAATTATTAACTGCGCATGTCCCATATTTAGGGTCATTTGCACAGGTAATGGGGGCCACATTTTATTTTCACTTTTTGGAAATAAAAATTCATGCCCAAAATATTTTCATAGAAAGATTAGGCATTTTCGTAACGTGTTTCGTGAAAATAAAATTGAGAAGTACATGTAGTACCAGAGTGGTCAAAACTCTAGTGATTTTTGTGAAAAGTTCTTTTCGTAAGCGGCAGTTTGTTTGCGTTTTGATGCGATTTTTGAAGGCTCGAAACAAAGAATTCGAAGTTTTCGTAAAGTTTTCAAAAGTCTGCTGTGGCGGAGAAAGGTTTGAAGGTTTTAGTTGTGCTGACGGTTTTGCGCTAGGTTTTTTTCTCTTCCCAACCGGATGCGTTTGCATATCGACCTAACTCAGCACCTATTCTGTTCTCCTGCATAATCGTACGGCCTTGCGAGCGTAAGAATTCAGTCATTTGGGAACGAAAGATGAACACAAAAGTAAAGTAAATTAACATAATGTTTAATATTGAAACCGAAGTCTATCTGTGATTATAACATTGCCAGGAAATGTTGGAATTCACGGTGTATATCCCCAGTTGTACATGTACTATATACATGTACAATTATGTCATGTATGTGTATATGTACTTGTACGTCGCGGTACGCGTGTAATAACAGGTTGGTGTGTACCGTGCACGGTATGTAGCCGGATTGGTTTTGTGCACGCACAACACGTAGATTGCGCTGCGCAGAAGTATCAAATATAACTCATGAAAGTCGAACAAATAATCTAGCTAGAGCTGATGGCATTGTGTAGTTGAGATTCTGGCCTGTCGTATACACTGTCTCACTGTTCTGTGAAGACGTCTGGGAAAAATTGAGAAATTTAGTGGGAAAAAGACCAAAAAACGATTGAAAATGGAAATAATATATATCATCTTTGCAACCACTTTGAAATTTCATATTTATGTAGGGAATCGTAGCTGAGTAAGGGCGCCCTCAACCTTCCAATACGCGTCAATTAACATAAAGTTTATACTTTTTAGGCACTTCCGAGCACGCGGTGTCAAGGCGGTCTCTTGGCTTTGGGGTCTCGAATGTACATGTAGAACCGTACTCTCTGCATTTTGCTTCTATTAAATGGTCGAAGCCATGCTCCTAAGTGTAGGAAGTGTCAATGCTAGAAACCTCTAGTAAGTACATGTGTACTTATCACTGTATAAACACTTCACATGATCTTCTGTCGGAGAAATTGTACGATTTACGGGGCGCAATATGGTAACTGTTTTCTGTATTACAACGTGCCATACTGCATTGGTCAGCTAGCCATGTTCCCTAATAACCTTTGACCATCCATTGTATTATTATTAATTTTTACTTACGGTGCTGTCTGGCCATTACACTACACCAACTGTTTTCATATTTAATAAATTGTAGTTCTGGAGTTAAGACATCATTTATTGTTCACGTGTTCTCCAAGTGCTCGTCCGCTTTGGCTTTAATTAGGGGACCGTTCCTCCTTCCTCCCACCGTCCAAATGGTTACATTTATGTAGCATGTCTTTTTATGATTCTGTGGTGTTTCATTCGGAGCACATACAATTTTGCATCTATTTTTCAGAGTGTTGTGCAGTCAATTATTTCTTTTAGCTGCATTGTAATGGTACAATAATTTAACTGTAAACAACCGGAATACAATTGAGCGAATCGCAAAAAATGCTAGAAAAATTTTTGATTCGGAAGTGAAACATATGAACGATATTGTTGAAACAAACTATCTCACCAAACTGCAGACTATAATTCAGGACCAAACCCATCCTCTCTATTCATCTGTACACATACTCCGATCAAGAAGATTACGAGCGCTCCCCACTCACACAAACCGGTTCAGATTTTCTTTTTTACCTAGTGCTATTCACCTCTATAATTCAAATTTCAGCAGATAATTATTGCATGCATCCAATGCTTTTTAATCAGATTAGACTTTTTAAATAAATTATCTGGCATATAAGTATTTTAGATCTGCTTCGTTTATGGTTTTTTTTTAAGGTTTGGCCCTTTTAACTAAGGTTTTGTGCTGGTGTTTAATATACATTCTTTTTTACCGTCTTTGTTGTCTGATGTAAATGTTTCTGTGTTTAAATTCCTGTCTCTTGTTTTTACGTGCACATTGGGAAAAAGAATTTCCTTTTTAATTTTTTTAAAATTGTGATGAAATGAAATATTAATCGAATCTAATCCTAATCTAACCGCCGAGCGCGGTCAAAGTCGTTCACACACGTCGAATGGGAGTGAAACATGGGGCTTGTAACACTGCGGGGCAAAGTGGAAATGGGCGAAGTGGGGAGGGGCGAAGTGGAAATGGGGCGATGTGGGTATGGGGCGAAGTGATTTGGGGTAGCTACGTACGTGGAATTGGGGCGCAATGACTGTAAAGCTTTTGGCCACGTCAATGGAGGTGTTCTCAAACTATTGTAAGGAGCCACTTCTCTGTAACAAACCGCTCTATACAAAGCACAGGCCTGTGCTTTCTGCCAGTATACGGGGCCATCAGAAATGTTCAGTGAAATATCGTTGGATTGGTCAATATACAGACCGACCTTTACAGTAACAAGTACCGTCTTTGCCAACCATGGTTTGGGAAAACTTTGGCTGGCCGTAAGTACGAGACCAAAAAAATCATGCAATTAAAAAAAACATTAAATGATAAATATTTGCGCTATATTTGTGCATAATGATAATGACTCTCATTTCAACTATGTAGAAACAAGCAGAATTGAAGTCACTTCTAATGGGTTTTAATTGGCAAACAAGGCACAGGTATGGCCTGCAAGATGTGCTCAAATGTGCATTTTGTTACCAAGGATGAACTATCAGCACACATGCATTGGCCGCCCACGTAAAATGCCTCCGGTCAGTATTTACAGAGAGGAACATGTATGAAGGTTTGACCTGGCTGCGATTGGCACGAAATTCGGGCCGGATTTTCGGCTAGCCTGATTTTAGGCTGGACGCTATTTTGACGGCTGCAAGCAAACCTTCACGTAACCAGCTAGAAATTCTACGGAGGCCGATCACGGCATAGCAGAAGGAGCCCATAAACGTCCACAAACAAATTACAGAAGAAAAAAAAAGAAATGTTAAAATAAATCCTTCGCTGGAATGTATCTTAGCTATGAAACAACGTGAACAACTGAGACTCTCTTTCACCAGCAGGAAACCCAGACGGAATGTGTACGAAAAAACACAAAGCCTTCATGCAAAATGGATGAGGGCGCTAGTACAGACAATGATGACCCCGAAATAATGCATTCGCGAACGGGTTCGCAATTTATATACTGTCAATTTCTCTTCTATTAAGGAAGTTGGAAAAACAAGAACTCGGTGATTTATAAAGAAGCATGGAATGTAATGGCAGAAATATAAAAGAGTGCCGGAAACTATTTAGAAAGCGTGGAACACGAATACACCAAAATCGAAATCGCTCTATAACATTCATGTGAGGAGTCAGCGCACCCGATTAGGCACAAAGACGGGGCAAATCGCTTTCTGGGCTGATGTCGGTTTTCAAACGATTTTGTACCATCCTAGATCTCAAAAAAGTGCGATTTTCTCTTAAGTAATGTGTAGGGGGACCCCTGGGCACACTTAATTAGCGCCCCAAATGATTCGGCTGACAGGCTGTCTCAGCCCAATTGATTTCAGGAGTCAGCGCACCCGATTAGGAACAAAGACGGGGCAAATCGCTTTCTGGGCTGATGTCCGTTTTCAAACGATTTTGTTCCATCCTAGATATCAAAAAAGTGCGATTTTCTCTTAAGTAATGTGTAGGGGGGACCCTTGGGCACACTTAATTAGCGCCCCGAATGATTCGGCTCACAGGCTGTCTCAGCCCAATTGATTTCAGGAGTCTACGCATCCGATTAGGAGCAAAGACAGAGAAAATAGGTTTCTAGGCTGAAAGTTGTACATTTTTGTATGTGAGTAGGAAGACAACAGCTGTCCAGTCTCCTTCAATGCAACGACTGCCTATAGGTAATGTCTGTCAACACGTAATTCGCCCGCCACCCTGTACTGTGCTGTGGCGGGAAACACTAACCTAATGGGCCAGCTGTGTTGACATGCGTTACCTATCTTTTATCGTGGCCTCGGAGGAGACCGCTGTTGATTTGTAAAGTCATGACCACTGAAACTTCAAATTTCATGAAACTCACCTATACACTTTCCTTCCCCCTTGGTACCCCCAATAGTGCATGAAAACTTAAAGTTATCAATTTTTCTGTCCATGTTGTTGCCCCCCACTATATTATACACATATTAAAACACATTAGCCACATGCGTTGCCCTGTTTAAATCTTATTCATTGCAGCAAGCTTGCTGTAATAATTAGGACAGTTCGACGCAATAATCATAACTCATCACCACTCTTAGAAGTTTGCTCGCAAGAGCAACAGACCGGTATCCCTTGCTATTTACTTAGCCACATAGAAAACTTCTAATATCAACAAAACAGTCGGGGAAAAAATCATGATGGCGAACAATGTCCACTTCACTTAACCCTAAACGCGACAGTATACCTTGCAAAAGCGAGTCATCAGTAATTAATTAACAGAATTACAAGCAGACACTCCAAAATAAATAAACAAGCCCTTGCGTCGCCGAGTGGCAGCTAAACTTCCGATCTACCAAAAACACAACAGTACAGGTCTCAAGAGAAAAAAGTGCGTAGACTCCTGAAATCAATTGGGCTGAGACAGCCTGTGAGCCGAATCATTCGGGGCGCTAA